ATGATGTGTTTTTTTGTTCGAAGCACACGTACTATACTCACTCCTGTATGTGATGAATGATAAATGTTGGTTCTGGGTGCCAGGTAAATGTGTAAAAGCATAAATAAACGGCCTCCTGCATCGATGCTATTTATTATCTCGGTACCAAACTGTGCGGGAAAGTTTCCCAGTGGTGCACTGGATAAATCAATTGTCCATAATAAAAGCGATAACATTGAAACGAGTAAACAGATTAGCACCCAGGGAAACTTTAAACATTTCCAGAAATCTTAGGCCGGTGGTATATGTTGTCCCATATGTGCTGTTACAATTTACGGCACATAGGCTCTGCTCCGATGTTTAGTATTCTGCATCTGGCCTCTAAGCCGCTTTTTACGCTTGTTCAACTTTCGGCATTCTAACCGTTTTGGATCTGTCTCTTTCTACATTCTGATAATCGTGTGATTTCATCCTGACAAGGCCAATCAGTGATTATGGATTTAGTGCAAGCGCTCGGGTGCAGAAGGTCGAAACAGACCGATGTTGGGGGGCGGATTGGTAGCTGGGCAGCTTGGTGATGGGGTGGGTTGGTGGCTGGGTGGATTGGTGGCTGGTTGGCTGGGTGGCTGTATGGGTTGGTGGGTTGGTGGGTTGGTGGCTGGTTGGCTGGGTGGCTGTATGGGTTGGTGGGTTGGTGGGTTGGTGGCTGGGTGGGTGGGTTGGTGGCTGGGCAGGTTGGTATATGAATGGGTTGGTGGTGGGGTGAGTTGGTGGATTGGTGGCTGGGTGGTGGGGTGGGCTGGTGGCTGGGTGGCTGGGTGGATTGGTGGCTGGGTGGTGGGGTGGGTTGGTGGCTGGGTGGCTGGGTGGATTGGTGGCTGGGTGGTGGGGTGGGTTGGTGGCTGGGTGGGATGGTAGCTGGGTGAGTTGGTGGCTGGGTGGTGGGGTGGGTTGGTGGCTGGGCAGGTTGATATATGAATGGGTTGGTGGTGGGGTGGGGTGAGTTGGTGGCTGGGTTGGTTGGTGGCTGGATGATGGGGTGGCTCAACGATCAGGGTACTGAGCTGGCTCGTTTTGAGGTCCTCAGTTCGAATTTTGGTTTCAAGACACCCGTGATTAAACTGGTTTCTCGAGTATAGCGAGTTGATGGTCTTATAGCCTGATCACTCATTCCTGGAGGAAAAACATAAACTAAAATTGTGATTACAGCATGTATATTTATAATGTAGAGCTAAGGTGCATTTACTTGTCTCTCATATGCTGGTGTGTGATTGGCGCTGCGCATTCCCTTTCAGAGGTGTCGTTCTCCACTGTTATCGGGGCAAGTTTGTAGGTGTTTTTCCCCCATGCCCCTCTCACGACACCGAGGCCTATCAATCATAATCGAAGTAGGGAAACGCTTGCATTTAAATGACTCAATTATTTGAAGTCAACGCGTTTGCTGGTATTGTTTTATATATCTATCTGAAATCACACTGGCGTGACTGTAGCTACTAATCCGATGCCATCGCACTTGATTTAAAACCCACTCTGCAATGCTTAATAGGAAAATGACACATCGCTCGCAATCTAACGTTAATATACTACGCAGGAGCAGTAATCGTTGATTTCTCAACGTGGGTTTATAGAGGCCCACTGATCAACAAGTTTGATCAGTGGCCCCAGTGGGGCTTATATTTTAATTTACTTGGCATTTGTATACCGGTCAAAAAACCCCAGTAAGGAGCAGTAATCGTTGATTTCTCAACGTGGGTTTATAGAGGCCCACTGATCAACAAGTTTGATCAGTGGCCCCCGTGGGGCTTATATTTTAATTTACTTGGCATTTGTATACCGGTCAAAAAACCCCAGTAAGGAGCAGTAATCGTTGATTTCTCAACGTGGGTTTATAGAGGCCCACTGATCAACAAGTTTGATCAGTGGCCCCCGTGGGGCTTATATTTTAATTTACTTGGCATTTGTATACTGGTCAAAAAACCCCAGTAAGGAACGCAGTGAATTTCACAAATTAGACACCGACATGAAAGGCAAAGTTGTGTAGCCCTGACGTTGCTCTCGCACAACGCTGCTGGTGGAAACGAGAAGCTCTAGAGAGGCCCCTTTAACGTATTGTCATGTCGGTTACATCCTCATGAAGTATTTTTTGAGACCATATTACGGAACAAGACTGTGGATCGGAAGTTGGGATATGTTCTGGACGTGAAATGTGTATATATGTATACAGTATATATGTACGCACATAACGTTCTACATTGAAAACCAATTTATCTAAAACTACCTTTTGTGTTTAGTTTGTTGGCGTTCCCCTACACCTCCGATTAGCACGGTTAACTACGTACGGTGCGAAAGAAGTTCAATATACATACGTACTTAGAATCCCAATCCCCCCGGTTTTACTCCAACGGTGCTGTCGGCATCACGTGACAGGAGGAAGTGAAATGTTCGTTCAGAATTTTGGCAGAGCGGTGCGCGCACCACCACCTCGTGTCAGAGAAGGGCCCGCGAGAGGTGAAGAGGTGGCACGATGGGAACCACCTGTGCACGTGTTGGAGAGGTGGGTAGGGGGTGGTGTTTGTCGCCTGACACTAAAACCAACACGTGTCATTATAGAAATTGCTAGAATTTTGGCCAAATTGAGTGAAGAACCTGGTTTCAGATAATTGATCTCGGTTCGCGCGCCGTGGTCATTGGTGAATGGGGTCGAGCCGTCAATTACGCGCACCGTGAGAAACCGGTTTTCACTAAATCGGTGCTGCCTGGGATCTCGCCAGTGCTGGCTGACTCGGGGTTCGTGATCACTTGGGCCACCTGGCCACCTCGCAACGCACACGGTAAATTGATGCCTGGCATCTTCTGAATTTCCCTCGGTGTCGATACATAACCGATGGGGGGAGGGGGGATAATTTGTTTTCCCCGTCTTCTGCGCAATACATTAATATGTGTGCAGTGTGCGGAAGACACGTCTTTAAAAAAATAGTTGATCGCTGGAACGGGAGGCAGAAGCATGCCAGGCACGCTGGAAATTTACATTCGCTGCGCAGAGAGCATGAATCACCCTACCGGCCAGCTTGCTGCTGCGGTAGCAGCAGCAGCAGCACTTGAAATATTTCTCATTTGCAATGCGGCGCAAAACGAAGAAACTATTTTGCACAGAATCAAGCGGCGCACGAATGTTGATATTACATTCTCCATATACCTTCGTCGTTACGGATAATGATTACATTTCTATTAATGTTTGGTCTCGTGAACATATCTTTTTAATACAAGATTCATAATTAACCAAGTCCATTAGCACACATTTAATATTCCGTCTCATCAGCTGCTCGTAAAGTGTAAGTAAATAACTGCTTTAAATCCATTATAAACGACCAGAATTTACTGCTTTTAAAATGATTGCAAATAATACAAACGGATAAATATGCGATATTGATTAAGGTAATCGCTCCATTGTCTGCCCAAAATGACAAATGTTTTAGGCGAGCTGCCACACGTCCCGCTTTCCTGCGTGTATAATGAAGGGGTAATACTGGACCCGGCCTGGTCGATGGCATGTGTGGCCATTATTATGGCGTTGTGATCTTTACTGGTCCAGGCAGGCAGGTCCGGCGCTCCGTGCCGTGAATCAAAATTGTACGGCCATGCCTCCTTCCGGGCCTGCTTTTTTTTTTAACCCTTCAAGATCCGCACAGCCGTCCAGGTCTCTCCGTGTATTGCAACCCCCGTGCGCTGACGCTCCGCAGGCGTTAGATCACATCGATTGAGTTCGCTAGCGTTGCCCGGACACGGTTATTGTGCGACGAGCGGCGAAGTGGGGGTGTCGCTTGGCCCTTTTGTTTGTCAATCTTGAAGCCTGTTGACTCTCTCCGATGCGCAATGGTACAATAGACTTCCACTAAATATACGCAAATTGATTGTAAAGAAAAACCGCCACGTATTTGTTTCCGCTCCGTTGGTTTACAAAGTGTTGCACTAAGGGCACGGAGCTGTGTATATGCAGTAGCAAAAGATTGGTTTGAAATATCACTGGCTTACATGTGACTTCAACAGGGATCTGTATACAGGGCTGTAGGTTTAAAATAATTCGCACCCCAGCGTTAACGTGTACACGTTTAACAGAGCTGGCAACGGCTAGAAAAAGCCCCCATTATTTAATTGTACTTCTCTGGCTTGCTCGTGAGGGCACACAGTGGAGACCATCTCGCTCTCTCTCCGGGTCTTCATGAAGACAAAAGGTTTTTGAAATTGATATCTGGCTATAAAATTGAGGTTAAAGAAGGTCAGCGGTAGGCTGTCGGGTCAGGGTTGGGCAAAAAATTAAATTTTTTCTTTAAATGCCAACCCGGTTTAATATTGGATGACAAAATCAATTAAGCACCCTCAATGTGCACACACTTCATGTTTTCCAAACAACAAAAAATCACAACGCTTAACCATTTACTTCTCGTGAATTAAGTGTCCGATGTGTTCTTGTGTTGTGCCGCTTGTTGTTCAGAGTGATGTTCGGCGCGATGTCAGACTTTCTTAAGGAAAGTTTAACGTCAGACATTGTGCTGGACAACACGCCATACAATTTGAAGCATAAACACTACCAAGAGGACAGACACTGTGCGACTGTTCAGTCACTACTGCTGTTATAAGTACAGCCCAAAAGTCAATAATTTAGGCAAGTCAAGAGCTCCGCCCAGAGGTCGCAACCGGGTACCCAATACCCGTACCCTACCCGATACCCGGCTACCCGTACCCGGCCGGGTACGGGTACGGGTAGCCGTTTGCCACCCTGGTGCGGCCGGGTACGGGTACGGATAGGCCGTGAGTCACTGGTGAGTAACCGTTTGTCACTCATTTTGGGTAGGGTACGGGTACGGGTAGGGAATGGCTACCCGTACCCGGCCGGGTACGGGTACGGGTACCCATTTGCGACCCTGGTGCGGCCGGGTACGGGTACGGGTAAGGAATCAAAACCCGTTTGCGACCTCTGGCTCCAACACATTGACCGATAGTGTGAGTGTGTTTCGTTACAGATGCGGGAGGGTCGTGGGTCCTCCGCTGGCCTGGACCACATGGCGCTGTGACTGAGCACCCGCCCTCAGAAAGGAGCCACATTTCCGGTGCGTAGATTGCGCCGGGCACAAGCATCGCTCGAGCAGCCCTTGCTCCTGCCGACATGTTCTCCACCGGTCGATGTTCTTGTGTGGAGGGCGTGCGCTTTATGACACGATGTTTCCACCGCACGCCGACGCAAGCTGCTGTAAAAGAACCCCGCGGCGCGCTGCTCCCAGCGCCTCCACGCAGCGCCTGCCCACTCGTTCCTCTTCCCTCCTCCCTGAGAATTGAGAACTTACGCGGTCGACCCGCGTTAAGGTCAATGCACAAGACGTACTCGCAAAAAGGCAACCCCATTTCCCCCCACCACCACATCCCCATGTTATTACCGGCCTGCGAGATACGTACAGTGCTGGAGTGAAACACAACCGCTTGATTGGCCGTTTTCCTGCTATTTATTTGCACGAGCTCTGCACTTGTTGTGCTCGGCGTTCATATAAGCAGTGAGGAGGGCAATGCCCTGCAAAAAAAAGCAAACCATGGGCGGTGGATGGCAAAGCGTGGCTCGGTATATACCCCAGACGCACGCGGTATTTTTACCTGGCAGGACTCGGGCCGCCCTGCACAGCAAAGGGCTGCCTGTGGTACATTGCATAACATCGTGTGATCCGTAAGTCAGGGGCTGCGTTTCCACAGCGCTGTTGTCAGCGAATCCAGCTCGCCTTGACCTATTATTCAGACGGCGCGAGTGCAGCTGATGGCTTTGAATCGTTACACTGGCTGGAATCATTTATGGTTAACCAAAGTGTCCTGCGTTTGATTCACGCAGACTTTGGTTTCATGCTTGGGAGGCAGCTTGCGTGCTCGCAGCTTAGGGCCGGAATGGCGGGTTGCTACCTCTCGGCGCTTCCTGCGCGAGCGTGGCCCCCCCAGCGGGATTGGCGCGATTTCAAGCAATGGCGGAACCATGCTGCAATTGCTCGTGAACTCTTGACCAACGCTCAACGCTGCCTCCGCCCTAATCCTCCCCTTCCTTACCACAACCGCCCCCATCCCTATCCGTTATTACTGCACAGAACGTGAGTGGTGGCTGAATGGGTGTGTTTTTGTATCAAGTGGACCCTCACGTGAATCACAAAATGACGAGTTTGCCTGATTTTATGCTAAAAGTGACAGGGGGCGATGGCCAATGAGAGCCACGTGGTTCTGGTTTTACGAGTAGAATGCTTTTACATTTTTAAACATTGTTTGTGACACATCTGTTGTGCGATCGCTCCCTAATTATGTAAACGCATTCGGAGTAACCCCCAGGCTCAAACTTAGCTCGTTTCTTTGTTGGGCCCCAAGGCAGAGTTTAAAATCTCCCATGAATTTGGTGGGGCCGAGTTTTTCTCTTGAGGGACGCCCCAGCGTTGACTTCCCACCCCTTGGTGGTGCTGATTAAACCGACCTCGGTGGGACGATGGCACGATGGCACGATGGCACTGACCGCGATGAAATCCTGTGGCCTCACGGCCGCGAGTCTCCCGTATTTCTGGCCGAGCTGTATCAACACGACTGCAAGAGATATCAATCATCGGTAGATTTACTTTGCTTCTTCTTCTTTTGCAATTTTATTTTTGAGCTTTAAGTTTTACAACGTGATGTCAGTTAATCGTCGTCAGCCTCCACAGGACGAGTTATTTCCCAAGCTGTCGCCATCCGTCATGGTTCTGAAATTTAATTCATCCACCTGTGCGAGCTGATCGCTCCATCACCTTGATCAATGTCCTCCCCCCCCCCCCCATGCGATCCATTCCTTGAGACTGCCACTTCGTGCTTTTTTTTGACCATGAGTCATCAGTTGTGTGTATATATGTTGAACTTCTTTCGCACCGTATGTAGCCATCCGTGCTAATGTGCTGTCCCCTGTTAACGCTGCCAATGCGCTTGCCCCTTCTCAACATTGGAAACAGGATAACAAACAATTTAGAGGCCAAAAAACTACGTGAGAAAGATGGATTTCGAAAAGGCCTTTCTTCAAAATAACGAGCATCGTTGGGTACTTTACCCATGCACATAGGTGATGAAAATCACCATACAAATGTGCCTAAAGGGAAATGTTTTTTTTAATCAGTGCACTTCACCTGCTGTGACGTACGGATCTGAAACAGGGAAATTCTTGAAGAAAATGGAATGAAAGCTGGAAAAAGCGCACAAAGAAGCATAAGGGGAGACAGAAAGAGGAGCGCATGGATCGGATAACAAATGCAGAGCCGGTGTCTGTTAAGAAAAGTGAGTGGGCTTGGGCAGGACGCATCGCTGTGAGTGAACATGGCTGGCGATCAAGACGAACGGTGGAGTGGCTGGCAGACAAAGGAGTGAGCAGTGACCGCCATGGAGGCAGAGAGCGATGAGAGCGGTGAGGCGAATCGCTGCATTGCAGGATCGCGAGGGATGTTGATCCTGCAATGGAGGGTGCCACGGTGGCGAGATGTTAACTACCTTGCTGGGTATACATGAGGTCGTGGGTTCGATCCTGACCCTGACGCCTGTGGGTTTAGAGTTTGCACGTTCTCCCCGTGGTCGTGTGGATTTTTCTCCGCGTCCTCCAGTTTTTCCCCTCCACATTTAGAAATGCGCGTCTAGAGTATTTGGCTGCTATAAATGTCCACGTGATAAGCCACTTCGTTGATGTTATCATTTCCGGCCAGGTCGCTTATGATAAAGAGTTACGTAGCTCAGTGGGCCTTAACTGATGAAAATTTTGTTTTAGTTAGTACGTATGTATGTATTGTTGAAGCCCTTTGGCACTATACGTAGCCAACCATGCTAATGTTTACACCTTGGGAAGACCTTCATCCAGCATTGCACAGATATGGCTGATGATGATAGGTGTCTCGTATAAAGCAGGGGGGCACTGCAGTGCCTCCCTTTGTGGATTGCTTCATGGGATAGAGACGACTCAACATTTTGAAAACACGAATGGCGCTGGTGATTTCCTCTTTTTTTCTCTCAAGTCACATTGCCAGTTTATTGGGTTCAACGATTAGACTGCAGTCCATAAAAGTATAATTACGTCCGAGCAGAGATTAAAATGTGTAATTTCTCATCTGCAGTAACCTAATTTCCTGTTAGCTCATGTAAAAAAAAAATCGCTTGTGCACACATACCAAATCCTGCCAAAAAATAAATGTGTGTATAACTTTTTTTTATGGAGTATGAGTGAAACGGCATCAGGGGGGGAATTTTCTTCCCCTCTACTCTGTATTTTATAAACCATTGCGGACCCTTGCCAAGGAAGTGAATTTGCATGCCACCACAATGCTCTGGATAATTCTAGTTATGATTTTCAGACTTCTGTGCATATATATATCAAAGGCTTGCAGATGTAAAGTAATTGGCTATAGTTTTTTCTAGTGAGACGCCAATGGATAAGAGAAGAGAAGAGGTACTGTGGACAACGCAGCTGCCAGTATTGGGCCTCATGTGCAAGCGTCTGCACCTACACACGGAGTGTACGAAATGACGCTTCGAACTGTTACGTAATTATTTACCCGCTTGTTATGCCAGCAGTTGAGGATTCCAAAACATTTATCATTTGTGCTTGGTTAACAGAAAATGTGTTTCTCGCAAAGGTAATATTTAATGATCAATTTGGCCATCGATAAGGGAAGTGCCCTCGGCAAAGCTTTGTCACATGCGCTACTTTAAAAATCAATGGGCGTGTTTTTTTTTTGCGACGACACGCTATTTTTAGGGATCGACGGGGTCGCACAAGCAGTGCCCTCGGCAGCTAGTAGGAGCCGGTTTGCATATGTTACTGTGTTTATATGGTCCACAGACCGTATATTTTCGCACTGCCCGGGGTGTTCATTTGGAGGTGGTTGTACGTATCTGCAATTCACCAACTCTCAAAGCAATTGCATGACAATGACTTACAACTGAATCTCTAATCGTTGTTCTTCATTAGCCGTACAATACAAGGAGAAGTTTGCGCATAATTAATTAATGTTGTGCACATGGATTGAACACGTCATGGGGCCAGGTTCATATGCTCGTGGGAAAAAACTAAAGTTGCAGAACAGGAGGTAATTTCGGTGCACATTATATGCCCTTTTTGTCTGCTGTAGATGGTAGACTCATCTTGCGATCGCAAGATGAGTCCCCCGCGTGTCGTAAGCGATGGCGGTGAAGTACTCCACCGGTAGTTCTGCGTTGCCGACCCGCGATCCACCGAACATTATTTTTGAAGTCGATCGCTCGGCACGCGCGTGGCCTCACTGCTGCTGCGCGGACGACGCGGTGATGTTGTGATGCCCAGCTGGACGGAGACATGCCGTCGGTGCCAGCGGACTTGAGCGTGACGCTTGTTCAGCATTCTACCAAGTCGAGCGAGAATCAATACGCATTGCATTTCACGGCGTGACACGGACTGACCCGGCACCCGCTCCCCAAAACAAACACAATGTGCCTACTCAGATATTACAGATTGCATGTCGGGTTTCGGCCTCTTGTGGTCGAATGAGTCCTGTTATTGATATTCAACATTGAAACTTTCTGCTCTCTTTGTACAAGTCATAGGGAATTCTGATTAATCCAGAGTGGAGCATTGGGCTAACTTCAAGCGAGTCCAATCTGACGGCGCCGACACTGGCCACTGTTATTCTGAGTGAGTTTGCTCGGTTTAGTGTACACCACTCTTGATGTCATAAAATAATTCTTATCACGTAGTCTCAGTGCCTGCAACGTGATGCCCACAATGACCTTTTTTTTTAGCAAGGAACAGCAACACCGTTGGCTTGAATGTGTCGTAACAATAACCGTTCAAATTGTGGTTTGGGTTTTTTTTCATCGGAAGGAAATGTTTTGAACAGCATTTTACAGTAACATTTTAAAAACATGATTTTTAAAACTTCAACCCAGAGTGATAAACATTGCGAACGGCTAATCTCCACTCTTAAACAAAATCCTCTTTAAGTTGACAATTAATTCTAAGTATAGTAAGTACTATACATTGAAGCTTCAGGCTTTGCTGCATAAGGGGCCATCTATTTAGTCCGTACGCAAAAATCTGTCAACTTGA